AATTTTAATAGAATCACTAAAAAAATAAACTTCAAAACCATTGGGAAGAGTTCCATGTTATTTTGTCACAATTGAAAAAGGAATGAAACATATTTTGGACGATTTTTCGTTTTAATAGTTCTCATAATTAGGAAATGCTTCATGCGGAAACCTGTAATAGTGAGTTATAAAATGTAAATATTAAAAAACTTTATAATTAGAATTAGATAAATACTATGAAAGGTTTTAAATCAAAATGTTTCAACAATTCTCAACTAATGAGATGGAGAAGATCAAACTCTGTGAGAAACACAAATTATAAGAATAAATTTAATTAAAATTTTTCAATAGGTTTTATTCGTAACATACTGAAAGATGTCAACAATAAAACATTGTAATAGAACATAAAAGTTAGAAGCGTACACAAACCTCATATTTAAATAGTGTAATTTAGTTAGTTAGATAATATGCAATGGATTAAAAAAAAAGATGATTATCAGATAACTAATTACAGCTTAATAGTAGACTTTTAGAGCGGTTACACGTATTACATTGACATTTTTCATTCCTACTAATATAATAGTTTTGATAATAAGTATAAAAAAGACATTTCTCTAGTCTTTCAATGAATAAAACTAATAAAAAATATATCAAATCAAATGAAATATTTGATATTCCGTATATCAAGTTAATATTCCTTAAAAAAAAGATGAAGAAAGATAATATTGAAAAACTGAAAAGATGTTCATTTATATGATTAACACAATCAGTTTCGTCATTATCGTAAATCACACGTGGTTTTGATTACTCATCCTCTGTTCTAATTGCTTCCAAATATATATTATAATGATCATATTTTATCTTATTAATTGTTGTACATTTGTGCGTTTAATGGTTTAGTTTTATATAGAATAATCTTTATAATAAACGTTTTTTGTTCCAACGTCCTGACATTTTCTTCTTAGCAGTGAAAGAATACAGACATAGCAGTTTTACAGATACTTTTGAATTTTACAATTTCATTTCTTTTATTCAAATTCATTTTTTCACAAGAAGAACAAGAAACTTACATTCGAGGTTTTCATTGCAAGTTTTCAGATGATTTTGTTTTTCCAAATTATTCCTATTACTCAAAATCATACAACCGATCATTCACTACTAAAAATTCGTTTTTACTTTGAGAAATCCGCTCTACAAAATTTTTGTAATGAAATTGAACTAAGATATACAAAACATAAATATATTCTTTAAAATTTTCTTCAGATTGATGCTAAATTTCTGCATAAATATGGAAATATTTATCGAGAAATTATGCCTTTTGATAACATTAATTGCTTCATAGATGTCCATATACTGTAATTATAGAGAATTTATGTTATTACTTTTAATCAATTTGTAAGTTTCGTTTAAGTTTGTTAACTTTACAAATCAGGCTGTCAAAGTAGACGAAATCCCTTCAATATTTCCGAGTGGCGATTATAAAAGCATACTAAGTTATTTTACTGAAAGGAGAAAATTGATGATTGAGTCAACTTCAATAGTTACAATAATTTCATCTGTAAAGGAGTCATTTGGAAAATAATTTAATTTTTTCATTTGTAAAATTTTATTGAATTTCTGAATTTTTGGTGTTGATGATAATTAAAATTTATAACTTTGAGGAAAATAGTTGTAAGTTCGTCCATTCTAATGTGTTACATATCATTGAACATGTTGTGAATAAAATGTATTTAATATTTTTATAATTTGTGGTTTTCACAGCATTCGATCATGTCCAACTCATGAGTTGAGAGTTGATGAAACTTACTATGAAATCACTGAATGCCTTAGATTTATCAAAATCTTTCCTAATATTTATCTAATTCTAATTATAAAGTTTTTTAATATTTACATTTTATAACTTACGACTTCCGCATGTTTCCTCATGTAATATTTCGTAATTCTGAGAACTACTAAATTGAAAAATCGTCCAAAATATTTCTCATTCCTTTTTCAATTGTAGCAAACTAACATGGAACTCTTCACAATAGTTTTGAAGTTTATTTTCTTGTTGATTCTATTCAAATTCAAAACGAATTCAGAAAAACACAAACTACCTAATAAATGTGAGCATTAATTCATTATTTTCGTTTTCAGATTAATGTCAGTTTCATGTTTAAATATGGAACTATTTATAGAGATGTGTTTCATTTCGAGGATATCGAATTATGTAAATTGATAGAGGAAGGAACAAGCAATATATGTAATTGCACGGGAATATTTTAAACTTTTAAACGAATCTAATCCTGGAATAATTCATAAATGCCCATACACTGTGAATATAAAAATTCATTCTCTTCTTTATTTTCTCAATATTTATGAACATCTTTTCAGTTTTTAAACATGACTAATGTTAGTACCAAGAAGAAGACTCCTGCTTCAAGAGTATTTCCTAGTTGGGATTATAAAACTGTTTTAAGCTTCAGCAATGAAAGAAAAAAGTGGATTGCAACTTCAGTTTCAACATCCAGAGTGACTTCATCCATAANCAATAATTTCATCTATAAAGGAGTCATTTGGAAAATGATTGAATTATTTTCATTTGCAAAATTTCATTGAATTTCATAAGTTTTGGTGTTGGTGATACTTAAATTTATAATTATGAGAAAAATAGTTGTAAGTTAGTCCATTCTACTTTGTTATAGACATCTTTGAACATGTTGTGAATAAAATGTATAAAATGTATTTTAAGTAATTAAATTTTATAATTTGTGGTTTTCAGAGCATTCGATCAAAAAACAAAAGATTTTGGTGATTGGTTTTATAAAATTATTTTAACTTTATTGAATGAAGTGTTGCAAATAAAAATGGTATCAGAATTTGAATAAAATAAAATTAAATAAAAAAATCTTCTTGAAAAGAAATTAAAACATCATTGAAATGCTTTTTTCAATATATTTTGCAAAAATGCTCTATTAGTCTGCTATTAAGCTGTAATTATTGCTCCATTTCCAGTCCATGGTGTTTTATCTTAATAACTAAATTATGCCATTTAAGTGTGAGGTTTGTGTCCGCTTCTAAATTTTATGTGCTGTTGCATTGTTCAATTGTCATTTCAGTTGAAAAAGAGTAGCATGTCGGTTTCAAAAATAATATTGACGATTTTAGTTTCACTGATTTTATTCAAATTCATCTTATCAAAAGATGAGCAGCAGTTTTATATTCGAAGTTTAATTTGCAATGTTTCGGATGAGTTTGTGTTTCCAAATTATTCTTGCTATGCGAAATCACATAATCGATCATTTTCTAGTAAAACTGTGTATATTGCATTCAAGAAACCAATTAACAAATTATTTGTATGAAATTGAACTAAGATAGAAACAAAACATAAATTTATTCTTTAAAATTTTCTTAAGATTGATGGCAAACTGCTGTATAAATATGGAAATATTTATCGAGAAATTATGCATTTTGATAACATTAACTTTTGTAAAATAATGGAGGAAGGAACCAAAAACAAATTGGTTTATGAACATTTTAGAATTGTTAATGCATCTATTCCTGGAGTGCTTCATAAATGTCCATATACTGTGATTAAAGAAAATTTATATTATTACTTTTAATCAATCATTAATTATCGTTTCAGTTTGTTAACTTTACAAATAAGCCTGTCAAAGTAGACGAAATCCCTTCAATATTTCCGAGTGGAGATTATAAATCCATATTCAGTTATTTAACTAAACAAAGAAAACTGGTTTTGGAGTCAACTTCAATATTTACAATAATTTCATCTGTAAAAGAGTCATTTGGAAAATGATTGAATTTTTTCATTTGTTAAAATTTATTGAAGTTCTGAATTTTTGGTGTTAGTGGTAATAAAAATTTATAATTTTAAGAGAAATGGTTATAAGTTTGTCTATGCAACTTTGTTACAGACATCTTTATATTAAATTATCCTGAAGAACTTAACATCAGAAGAATTATCTAAGCATTGTGAAAAATTTGTAATGAAAACTCCAAAAACAATTTGAATTTTTTTGTAAATCTCACTTTTTCTTTATTTTCTTCTCGTAGTTTTATTGGCTCGCAAAAATAAGTTAATCTTTCTAATCTTCTTAAGAGTACTATAAAAATCTCCTATCATGATGGTTTATTTAAATTTCTTCGATGCATCTTCGAATGCGTAAATATAAGGAAATTTCATGTTTTTCTTTTTATTGTACTCACCCTTCTTTAAAACTTTATTCTTAATTCAGTTAATTCACATAAATTTGAAAACATAAATTAACATAAAAGTAAGAAAATATAATTAAAACTATGAAAGTATTAAGCGAATCAACAATGAATTTTGTTAATAAGTTCCTTTTTCATTATTTAATGAATAACTGAATTGTAATGTCTCAAAAACTTTTATAAGGTTTTAGCAATTTAGGTTCTCAGACAGTAGTGCAACCTATGATGAAGCACTAAATATAAAAGCACAAATTTTTCAAAAACATAGAAATTTGAATTTCTTAATTTTATTTCAAAATCGGGATGCATTATCGAGAAATATTGAACAGAAAACACAAAATTTATAATTTGCCAAATCATTCTTTAGTGATGAAATTATAGCAGCATCAGCAGTGCTTATCTTCATTACTAAATTAAGAATCAATATCTAGGAAATATCGAAAGCATGCCATCCTTTATTAGTGATTGAAAGAATGGCTATTAGTCGGAATTTTTCCTGCGTGTTTTACTTTACTTTATTATTTGTAAGAAGAAGATGTCTTTGAATAAAAATAGTGAAGTTAAAATCTTTAAATTTATTTTTGAAAACGACATGTTACTTTTATCCAACTGAAGTAACAATGAAACATTGTAAAATAATGTAAAATTTAGAAACGGACACAAACCTCATATTTAAATAGTGTAATTTAGTTAGTTAGATAATACGCAATGAATTAAAACGGAGATGCTTATCAGATAACTTATAACAGCTCAATAGTAGACTTTTAGAGCGGTTACACGTATTATATTGACATTTTTCAATCCCACTCTGTACTACAGAGTCTGTAGTGAAAATTTGGAAAATGTTAAAAAAATACTTTTCAATGATGTAGAATCAAGACAATTTTTTTATTTAGTTACCTAATTAAAATGCAGATAAAATTTCTACTTGCAAGTTGCAACCCTTTATTAAAGTCAAAATAATTTTATAAAGCCATTACCCAAATCTTGTTTTATCTTTTAAGTTAAAGATTATCAAACATTTTAGAAAAGAATTATTTACCAAATGAATCTTTTAAAGGTGAAGTCACTCTGGATGTTGAAACTGAAGTGGCGATCCACTTTTTTCTTTCATTACTGAAGCTTAAAACAGTTTTATAATCCCCACTAGGAAATACTCTTGAAGCAGGAGTCTTCTTCTTGGTACTAACATTAGTCATGTTTAAAAACTGAAAAGATGTTCATAAATTTTTATAATGAATTTTTATATTTATGAATCATTCCAGGACTAGTTTCGTTAAAAGATTTTAAATATTCTCGTACCAACATATTGCTTGTTCCTTCCTCTATCACTTTACATATTTCGATATTCTCGAAATGCAAAACTTCTCTATAAATAGTTCCGTATTTATACATGAGACTGCCATTTACCTGATATTGAAAATAATGAATAATTGTTCACGTTTAATAATTTTTATCTTTTTCTGATTTTATTTTCTTTTACAAAAATTTTGTAGTGTGGCTTCTTCAATGTGAAGAACAAGTTTTCAGTAGTGAATGATCGGTTGCATGATTTTGCGTAACAGGAATAATTTGGAAAAACAAAATCATCTGAAAACTTGCAATGATACCCTCGAATATAAGTTTCTTGTTCTTCTTGTGATGAAATGAATTTAAATAGAATCAACAAGAAAATAAACTTCAAAACTATTGTGAAGAGTTCCATGTTATTTTGTCACAATCGAAAAAGGAATGAGAAATATTTTGGACGATTATTCATTTTAATAGTTTTCAGAATTAGGAAATATTACATGAGGAAACATTCGGAAGTCGTAAATTATAAAATGTAAATATTAAAAAACTTTATAATTAGAATTAGAATTAGAATAATACTAGAAAAGGTTTTGAATCAAAATGTTTTGATAAATCTGAAGCATTTAGTGATTTCACCAGTAAATTTCATCAGGTCATGAGTTGAAGATGATCAAACGCTGCGAAAAACACAAATTATGTAGATATAAAATTTAACTTGAGTAAAAATAATGTTTAATACATTTTATTCAGAATATATTCAAAGATGTCTATGACAAATTTGGATGGACAAATTCAAAAATATTTCCCAAAAAATTAATAAATTGAAGTATCACCAACACCAAAAAACTTAAGAATTTCAACAAATTTTGCAAATGAAAAAAAGTATTATTTTCCAAATGACTCCTTTATAGATGAAATTATTGTAGTTATTGTAGTTGACTCCATCATCAATTTTCTGCCTTTAGTAAAATAACTTAGTATGCTTTTATAATCGCCACTCGGAAATATTGAAGGGATTTCGTCTACTTTGATAGCCTGATTTGTAAAGTTAACAAACTGAAACGAAACTTACAAATTGATTAAAAGTAAGAACATAAATTCTCTATAATTACAGTGTATGGACATTTATGAAGCAATCCAGGAACAGAGGCATTAGCCACTCTGAAATATTCGTACACGTATTTATTTTTTGTT